AGGAAGGAAGGAAGGAAGGAAGGAAGGAAGGAAGGAAGGAAGGAAGGAAGGAAGGAAGGAAGGAAGGAGCTTCTTGCTCCTCGTGGCCTGGGGCTGCTGCGAGCAGGGGGTGGGGCTTCTTACATGTCAACAATACTCATCTGTGAACTTAACACTCAACATTCTTCCCACTTCAATGAGACACATTCTCAACATGCTCATAGTGGGAAGAATGTTGAGTGTTAAGTTCACAGATGAGTATTGTTGATGTGTAAACGAATGCCATTCACGCAGCACACTGAGATAAAGCAGTCATGTGAAATGGGAATATATGCAAATTCCATTGTGTGTGTGTGTACATCTTGATTACCTGTTGAAGAAATGCTACTCACTGCGAAATAGCAGTTTAAATATATATTTCCATAATACTACCTCACGGCTGTTTTCTTCATTGTCTGCATCCTTCCCGTGATCTCTCTGTTGTTTCTACACTACCTGGAGGTTGGCAACCCTAAACTCTTAGACTCTAGGTTCAAAGCTTTGTTATGTTTAGGACTATATTGTTTTAAAGCCCCTCAGGGTCTTCTGTAATTGCCTAGAGCCTTTCTAAAATGGCATCTCCCTCACACTAGCCTCTCTTTATCTTTCAATCCCCAAATGCCCAGTTCATGAGAAGGGGGTGACACAAGTTAATGATGAAGTGTTGGTAATGTGTAAACTGCACAACCCCAGTGGTCTCTTCTTCAGATGTACTGGATGTACTTATGAGGTAAATTTAGTTCCCCTTCACGGAATGTTCGACTGGACAGAGAAGACATGGGTGAAGGCAAAACAACCTGATTTACTCAACAGGGGAAAAAAAGTTCTCAACAGAGTAAGTGTTATGTGTGGAAAATTTCAACTTATATGGGTAAAATGACTCTCAGTCTACGACCCAGCACTTACAATTGTTCCTCTAAGGGATTTAGTACTTGAAACTGGGTCAATCTACAATAAATAAACACTGAGGAGAGATTTCTCTCCCTTTCCTCAGAACATTTACCTCAGGTTAGGAGGTTTACAAGACCTGGTTACCAAACACAGGTTTCTCAAAGATCTGCACTTCTCCTTTCACCTCCCAGTCC